GCTGCAGGACCCACACACCTGCATGCAGGCCATGGCACAGCTACAGGCACAGCACTGGGCACGGCATGGCAGGGCATGGCACTGGGCAGGACACAGCACCAGGCAGGCATGGCAGACACTCACCCTCAGCAGCTTCAGGTGCCTCCAGGCTGTCCAGCCGATCCTCCTCCGTCGCAGCCTCGCTGCCCTCCCCGGGTCCATCACCCTCATCCTCACCCAGCGGCTCTGCAGGCAGGGGACAGCTCAGCTGGGACCCTTCCCCCTGCAGCATGGGGACACCCCAGGACACCCCAGGAGGGACACGACCAGCCCAGGACACCTCAGAAGGGAGTGTCCACCAGCCCAGAACGTCCCTAGAGGGACTTGACCAACCCAGCATGGGAGCCAGGAAAGAGCCTAGGACAGGGTTGACCCTGAAAGGTCCCTGGGCAGTGCTGGGCAGGGGGGTGTCACATCCCCATTCCTGTGTGTGAGCCCCTCACAGGTGTCCAGTGGTGAGAGGATCTGCTTGTCTGAGGGCTGGGTACCCCGAGCAGTCTGGGCACTTGTCCTGGTGCTGGCACCTGTCTGGAACTCGATGGTCCTCAGCATCTCGGCCACGTAGTCCACATTGATGGAGAAGTGATCCATGTTCTCATAGCCAGGCTCGGGGCGGCTGCTCATTGATGCCTTGGACATGTCCGTGATCCTGCGGGGCAGGCAGACCCTCGGAGCTGTGGGGTCCAGCACCCACGGGGTCCTCAGCCACAGCCCAGCAGGGACAGACACGGCTCGGGGCGGCTGCTCATTGATGCCTTGGACATGTCCGTGATCCTGTGGGGCAGGCAGACCCTCGGAGCTGTGGGGTCCAGCACCCACGGGGTCCTCAGCCACAGCCCAGCAGGGACAGACACAGCTGTGACACCCCCCCTGCCCCCTGTGCTCCCAGCCCTGCTCCCTCCACTCACTTTTTCAGGAGTTCCTTGGAGTGCTGTGAAGGAAAGCAAGGAGGAATCAGTATCTCCTAGACATCACCCCCACCCCAGCACATCCCAGGGGCATCCCCAGATCCTTTGGGGGTAACCACAGCCCTCCCCATGTACAGCCCTGCAATGCAGCCCCAGGTCCCACAGGGATCTCTGGCCCCACCACAGCCCCAGGGCAGCCACGGCCCCCAGAAGTTTCTGTCCCCCTTCCCGCCCTGTGCCCCGGCTGGACCTGCAGGTACACGGCCATCTGGGGCTCCTCCATGGCCTGGATGGCAGACTCCACCAGTTTGGAGGAGGCCTCCAGGTGGTCTCCGTACTGGCGGATGAGCCCACGGACACGTTGCAGCTTGGTCTCCTGCTCAGCTGCGATGCTCTGCAGCAGCTCCTTCTTCCTCTCCTCCAGGATCCCGTACAGAGCGTCGAACCGCAGCCCCACGTGCTGCTTCTGCCGCCGACTGTTCTCCTGCGGGACGAGGGTCAGGGCTGCACTGTGTCCCCCCAGCACAGCCCTGGGGCCAACCATCCTAGCCCCACCGGGTTCCCCCCACTGGCACAGCCCCGGGGCTGGACCTCCCGGCCCCCACCTCGATGGTGTGGCAGATCTCCTCCATCTGCGTGATGATGGCCTGGATCCGGTCATTCCCCGCCACCAGCATGGCGATGCCGTCACTGAGCTCGCTCTGGGAGGGGAGGGGAGCGGGTGTGAGGGCAGCTGCACGGGTACCCCCGGCCCACCAAGGGCTCCCGGGGCCCCTCACCTTCTGGCGCTGGTAGACGGCCGGCAGTGGGGCCACCTCGCAGTCCTTGTGCGCTCCGAACACCTTGCAGAGGGAGCAGGTGGGCACCTCGCAGCGCAGGCAGTAGATGTTGATCCGCTCGTCCTCGTGCTCCTCGCACATGAGGTGCTGCTCGGCCTTGTTGTGCAGGGGGCTGAGGAGGGTTGGATGTTCAGTCAGACGTCCCCAGCCCCAAGGAACACCTCCAACCCCAGAGATACCCCATCTCCCAGGGACCCCCCCATCTCCAGAGACACCCCGGCCCCAGAGACACGTCTGGTCCCCAGGGATACCCTTGGCCTCAGGGATGCCCCAGCCCCAGTAACACCCTTACTCCCAGAGTCACTCCCAGCCCCAGGGACACCCCTTGGCCTCAGGGATGCCCCAGCCCCAGTAACACCCTTACTCCCAGAGTCACTCCCAGCCCCAGGGACACCCCAGCACCATGTGGGCCCCATGACCCCTCGGGCTCCAGCTGCCCCCAGCTCTGCATGCCCAGTCTTCCATGGGCTCCCCTTACCCCGCTGTGCTTGCCCTCCCTTGAGGAACCCCAGTGCCCCCCTGGGCTCCCTTCCCCCGCGGGTCTGCCCCGCCGCGCCCCCGCACCGGGCCGACTCCTGCTTGTAGATGTCGATAATGTTCTCCACGAGCAGGTTCCGCTGCAGCCCGTAGACCCCGTGCCGGTCCAGCACCACC